TGATATAGCCTACATAGCGTAATAACTAAAATAGTTAGCAAAGAAATTAGCCTGTCAGACTCCTGACAATAAAGTTATTTATATATCTATAAATTTAGTAAAATATAAAAAAAAATCATCACTATGAATATGAAATGATACTTTTAATTCAAAAACCACCCAAATCACACCTCCATAAATTAGTAACTAGAACTAGAATGCCGACTGCCAGCACTTCTGCCTTCTGCACATTTAAAATGAGAGGATTCTGGTTCACGGCAGACAGAATGCCAGCCCAATAATGAGAATCCGAAATAAGGAGGAGAGGCGCTCAAGACTGGCATGAAAGTCACAGGCACAAAATAAAACGAATTTCTATCCAATAAATTAATATATAGTGTCAAATGAACAAAATATGGACAAAGAATAGTAAATGAGTGAAAGTGTTAGGATCATTTGTATCCACATCAAGGATATAGACAGAATGCGAAGAACTTATCAGATGAATGACATTTCTACATAATGATTTTCCTTTACCTCCTAAGAGCCTCTTAACTTCCCAGAGATCTCAGCTTGAGAGAGAACCACAGAGGCCCGACTTGCAGGCTTACGAGCAATGCAGCCATGAGGAAGGTGTTGGGACACAGTCCTAAGTGGAGACGCTCTAAACCCAACTAAACAACGACCACGCCTTAGTCGGCTTTCAGTTTACATCCCCACCCCACCCCGCCCGGATTATTTTTCTGCTCAGGTGAACTTGGTAATATCTAAGCTACAAAAAGAGCATGGACTGGCCATGCCAGCAGCAGTGTGAATATTAGAGTGCTTTTACTAAAAGTTTTCTACGAATACTGACTTACTGCCCACCTAAGGCTGCACTGAACTCACTTTCATAACCTTGATCTGCTGAGCTCCAAGCCACCCTGTACATGCTGTACTTCAGCCCAAGTGCACCCCTGGTATCAGCCCAGGAAGACGGAAGAGCTTAGGAGCGAGTAGATGTGAAATCCAATGAAGACTTGCCGTTGTTACCCCACAGGATATACTACACCAAGCATGTCAAACTCAAAGGCTAACATGGACCAAATAAACGAGGCATGCGGCCCGCGGGCTGCGAGTTTGACATCCTTGTACTACACTCTTATACGTAACATACTCTCCCTAATCGCTAAGGCTTCTCTCCTCTGGCTCCTTCTGCCCAGGATCTGCCTCAGGCTTCTCCAGCTCTTGCTGAACCTATTTCTCTGAATTCATATAAGGTAAATTCAATTATGATGGGACTCCATTATACTGACAGGCCTACAAGTCCCCACTGTTGATTTTTCGCAACCAGTATTTATTCAGAATCCACTTATATCAAGATTATTTATGCCCTGCTAGTGTGGCTCAGTGGTTGAGCATCAACCTATGAACCAGGAGGTCATGGTTCATTCCAGGTCAGAGCATATGTCCGGATTGCAGGCTCGATCCCCAATAGGGGGCGTGCAGGAGGCAGCCAATCAATGATTCTTTCTCATCATTGATGTTTCCATCTCTTTCTCCTCCCATCCTCTCTGAAATCAATAAAAATATATCTAAAAAAAGTTTGTTTAGGGCTTTAATCAATACTGGCAAACATAGTGATAATACCAAGCATGGCCAAAAGCATGCTAAACTCCTGTGCAGAATATTAGGCTGAAAGAACTCCACATATTCCTAACATGTGGAGAAAGTATAAGAAAAGAAATGTCTCAACTGCTGCATTTATATTTCAAGATAAATTCAGAACACAGACTGAAAGGATGCTATTGCTAATTAAAGGTCAACAGACAATAAGTATGACTTGAGTGAAAACTACTTCACTGGGCCCACGAAAGAAGGCCATCTCAGGGAGAACGTTGGCTGTGAAGAGGGCTGGGATGCTGCTGTTGGGGTAAGTATCATAAATTTACCTGAGCTTGCTCTCCGCCAGGACAGTATTCTCCCGCTCAGACCTCTAGGTCTCACACACATGTTCCCCTCTGCGTGCATCTATGGGTGCTGCTGTGGTTTGTATGTGTGAGTTCATAGCTCCCCTCACTTTACTTCTCTCTATTTCAGTCTTATTTCAAACACCTAAGTACTATGGTTAGTATTTTTCTACAGCAATTGAGTTTTCTGCATTTCCAGGAAGCATCCCTGGGCAGAATAAATGACAAGGTGAACCTAAAACCAAAAGTAAATCAATCACCCTGGATTTCCTAGCAGATTCCCTTCCCAGAAGCGATGAATTTAAGAACTGAGATAATCCTATTAAATTCCACCAATTAAATAACTGTCTGTATTTATGAAGTACACTTAAAATATATGAGTACTTTTGATAACCTGAGAGAATAAATTGGGAGATTACATACACAAAACTTCCATTTTTACTAAAATTGTAAATTATATATATAAGTAAATTATATATATATGGCAATGCTATACTATCCATATACTTTAAAATGATATATCACATGCAGATCAGTTCACCTGCTTCAATACATTAAATAATTTAGTCTTTTATAATATACTAGAGGCCTGATGCACAAAAATTGGTGCAAGAGTAGGCCTTCCTTCCCCTGGCTGCCGGCACCAGCTTCCCTCTGGGCCCGGCTTCGTCTGGAAGGACATCCAGAATGATGCCCAGAAGGACATCTGGTCTAATTAGCATATTACCCTTTTATCATTATAGATTCCCAAAACAGAAATTCTGAAAAAAGAGAAGAAATGCCAAACAATGAAAATACTATAGGAATGTCAATGCTAAAGAAAACCATTCGGCTAGTCTGAAAATACTCTTTTGTGTGTAAAGTTTTCCCAATAACCTTTAATTAATTAATCTCAGAAGTACTCCAGGTGTATAATAAAAGTACAAGTGCCGGCTAGCTAGCTCCCTCTAGGACAGCGGTTCTCAACCTGTGGGTCGCAACCCCTTGGGGGTTGAATGACCCTTTCACAGGGGTCGCCTAAGACCATCGGAAAACACATATATAATTACACATTGTTTTTGTGATTAATCACTATGCTTTAATTATGTTCAATTTGTACCAATGAAATTGGGGGTCACCACAACATGGGGAACTGTATTAAAGGGTCTCGGCATTAGGAAGGTTGAGAACCACTGCTCTAGGAAGAGATATTCAATGTGATCATTATTATAACAGATGCAAATACATGAAACTGTGTAAGGAAATTTCTCTAATTCAAGAGTGTTTCTCTGAGATTTAGCTGCAATTTATAGATTTCCCTGTATTATTCTCCCCCCGGTCATCTACTCATCCATCCATCCATCCATCCAACCAACCTTTTCAAAACGAAGTTTATAATCTTACCTTCAATACATTCTTCGTAAGTTCACTCTATTAATTAATTCTCCCTGATTGCAACCAAAAACCAGTGTTGATATTTGTCTTTCTATCCACACTCAGTTAATTGGTTAAGACATATCAATCCCATACAATTTCGTGACACCCATCTTCTGTGTATGTTCTCAGACAGCATCTGACTGCAAGGGCCCCGTTCGGAAAGCTGGGTTCTGATGAGCTCACTGCTCAAGTTCTCGCCCTGCGCTCACCAACCAGAGACCCTGCTAGATCATCCCCTGGGCCTGGAATAGCTTCTTCAATCAGCTCCCCCGCTGAGACCTCACTCAAGGCCTCCCCTAAACCCTAGGTCACCCATAAAGCAATTTCTCTTATGGCTTTATTTGCACTGAGGTCTTTCACTCTATCTTCTAATTTGTAACATACTTATAAGATAAATGATGAACTCCTTCGTAGAAAGGACGGTGTCTTAAAACGTTATGATAAATTCACACTTGCCTAGGCACCGCAAATGTGCTCACCAAATGGAGAAGCGAATTTTTGCCATGAACTCATTCCTACAATAATTTACAGGAGAAAATATTCTACACGGGATATTTAATTTATTTTGGAAAATGAGACTTTTAAGGTCGGTGAGATACAAGCCCCTACTTATTAAATTTAAATTTACTTCAGAAAGCCCACAATGTAAAAGATTTCCCATGAACTATTTCAGTAAATTATATTTTGCCCTCACATTGATTTTGATCAAAATAGGGAGGAGAAAGGATGAGGACTAAAGCAATAGGTGAAATATACTACTAATTGGATTTCTCTTTAAAACTGCAAGGCCCCTTAAAATCTCTCTTAAATACAGTCACGGTTACTCTGACTACTATGCAGAAAAAGGGAAAACTTAGTCACAATGAGTCCTATAGTCTATTGTTCCACTGAGTTTACAACGAGTAAAAGAGTATGTTGCAATTTTCACAAAGACTTAAGAACTTCGTAAAGCATCATAAATCCTACATTTCTAATTTTCACAATTAAATGATTTCATGATTTTACTTTTGATAAATTATTTTTACACTTGAAAAATATAGTAAAAAGTAGAATATGATTACAAGGCCCCTTAAAATCTCTCTTAAATACAGTCACGGTTACTCTGACTACTATGCAGAAAAAGGGAAAACTTAGTCACAATGAGTCCTATAGTCTATTGTTCCACTGTGTTTACAACGAGTAAAATAGTGTGTTGCAATTTTCACAAAGACTTAAGAACTTCGTAAAGCATCATAAATCCTACATTTCTAATTTTCACAATTAAATGATTTCGTGATTTTACTTTTGATACATTTTTTTTACACTTGAAAAATACAGGAAAAAGTAGAATATGATTACATTTGCCAATATATGAAAGAAGTTATTTAAAAATAAACAATCATTACATTTCATTAGGAATTGGAGCTCCGTCACGGAACGAATTAAACTCGTAAGTCAAGGCCCCACTGTATATGAAAGAAATTATTTAAAAATAAACAACCATTACATTTCGTTTGGAATTACTCTGCTCCCATCTGCTGAATAGTAGAAAGAGCTACCCAAAGCCCTCCCGCGAAGCAGAGAACGGTGATATTACAACTTATATTTTAATAACTTTGTAAAACGGCTGGCAGAATTACCATGCAAATGCAGGTGCTGGGTTTACCGGTCACTCACCTCGCCCCCATTGACATATTCCATCACAAAACACAAACGGTCTTTTGTCTGGAAGGAATATTTCAAGGACTTGAAATGAAAAAAGAAAAAATGTTATATTATAATCCTACATTGTTATAATGGCACCAAAACAGAACACTCAGAAACAGTAAGCAGTATGATGAAATGAACTGTTAGCATTCCTCACAAGTCTATTTACCCGCAAGAGTGCTTAAGGTAGAGTTTATGGGAAACGTAAGACAATTGACGTTTAGCTCAGCAGTGGGTATTGCTAGGGGAAAATTAACACTTTAAGTAAAGATTAACTTAGAAATTGTGAGGCGCACCTCTCAACCGAGTGTGCTATCCATTTCACACTGTGTGGGTTCCCAAAGCTCTTATCCATAGATCTCAGAGCGAGGCCGACAAATTACTCCAGTGGAGGGCTGAGACAGTTATAGTCGCTATATTCGGGGATCTAATCATTACAACATAACTTTTTGCACTTAGGGTACATAACATGTAATTTTATAGGTTATAAAGACTGCAGAACTATCTTCATATACTAGACAAAAAATACACAACAATGTAACATTAAGTCCAGATATCTGATGATACCTGGGAAAATTCCTACATTAGGAAATCCTACATCTTTAAAAGACCCTTTAAAATCTCTTAAATACAGTCAAGGTTACGCTAAAGAGAAAACTCGGCCACAATGTGTACCCCTATGGTCTATTGTTCCACTGAGTTTACAATGAATAAAATCATTCCTCCTTTTGAAAGTCTAGCTGTTACTTTTAATCTTAATGTACTTCACTGAAATCAGAACTATATAGAAACTTTGCAAATTACGCCTCAATTACAATCAGTCAAGGAACAGGACAAAAAAAAAATCGGTTTGCTTCGTAACTAAGTCACAGTTTATACTTCGTCTAGTGAAGAAATATCATGACTGATCCTGCCTTTAATGTCACGTGTTCAGCATTCCTATGTTTCTCAAAGTACACTATCACTAACAAGAAGTCTCAATTTCTACAAAAAAGGCAGCAAAGATTTCTGCCTTTCACATGTGCAGACAATGTTGCCTGATCATGTATATATTTATATACAAACCAAAGAAGCATAAAACCCTTACATTTACTGCCAATCTTTTCAGCTGGCCCCTTTTTAAGTCCACCATGTTCTCAGGGGTCTCCTTAAAACGGCAGCGTTGATGTACTGGCTGTATGAGTTATTTGTATTCAAGGTAGTGAAATTCATGGGAGGAAAAAAGAAATCTCCTAGAAGTTGTAGCTGCATAATGGGAGGGATTACAGATGCATGCATGTTGCAAATTCAACCCCTACATTCCGATAATTTCCAAGAAATCTGACTTGCAGCTTTCCACACAGAAAGGGTGCACCTGAATGAAGGGTACTGACAACGTTCCTTTTCTTAGCTTAGTTCTGTCAAACCCCCTCTCGTCTGAAATGCTTCGATGACAACATGTGTCCGCTAGTCACTTACTGTCAAGAAGGGATGCCTCGTGTTCTTCAATACCCGGCTCTCGGTGAGGGTGTGAGCCACTTCATCCTGCAAGAGAAACAGGCAAGCCTTTCATGTCTGTTCTGAGCACCAACAGAAAAACGTCACCATTTCTCTGAGCCCAGGAGAGGTAAAACCTAGAATCGGAAAAAGATTTTATTAATTTATTATTATTATTATTTTGATCCTCACCCAAGGATATTTTTCCATTGATTTTTAGAGAGAGTGGAAGAGAGAAAGACGGAGAGAAATAGTGATGTGAATTGGTTGTCTCCTGCATGAGCCCTGACCAGGGCCTGGGACGGGGAGGAGCCTGCAACTGAGGTACATACCCTTGACCGGAATCGAACCCGGGACCCTTCGGTCTGCAGGCCGACACTCTACCCACTGAGCCAAACTGTCTAGGGCTGGAAAAAGATTTTGTAACACAGTGACATGCTTGCTCTCAGTTGCCAAACTATCTTCTCACTGTTCCTTGATTTCTATTTCTAATCTCTTATATGAAGGTGTGTTTTTTTCACCTTGATAGAGCAAATGAAATCACAGTTGTTCTGTTTTCCATAAACACATACTAGTAGTCACCTTTCCCATGCGTTGTTACTGGAAGCTTTGTTCTTTTTAAAATATGTATATATATTTATTGATTTCAGAGAGAAAAGGAGAGGGAGAGAGACATAGAAACATCAATGATGAGAGAGAATTATTGATCAGCTGCCTCCTGCACGCCCCCTACAGGGGATGGAGCCCACAACCCGGGCATGTGCCCTGACCGGAAATTGAACTCTAACCTCCTAATTCATTGGTTGAGGCTCAACCAGGAGCCATGCCCGCCCGACTGGAATCTTTGTTCTTGAGGCTCCTGTTCCAAATGGGACTTTGATGAAAAGCCACACGAACCCCTTGGACTTCAGTTGTGACACAATCCCTTCAGAAGCCAGGCTTGCGTACACCGGAGAGCATGCTGTCTGCATACGCTCGTCTACACTGCCCTTCACTACATTCCCGTCCTTCCTTCTGTCTCTTCCAGTTTCTAGTATTGGGACAAATCAATCTCACATGCTCACCTCTATTCCACGTCAGAAGGGGGAATCAGACATGGTGACTGGCACATTACAATCCCCCCTCCGACCTCAGCTGAGTCTTGGGAGGGTTCTGTGACTCACTGCTACATCGTCACTCTTCCGTCCCGTACACGGCTGTTTCAAACCTTTCCCAGGCCGGGCACACGCCTTGCACAGGCGCTGAGATGCACCAACAGCCCTGTGAGGGCCCCTAGTCAGTGCCGCCCAGGGGCTGGAGCCCAGGTTGTCTGACCTCAAGTCGTCTCTCTCCATCTCAACCTCACTCCCTCACTCTTTCAAAAGGCCAGCTTGCTTCCTACTCCGAACGGGAGTCATTCATAATACATGGCACACTGGATCATGCTTCCCTGGAGACCTGGTGTCCAGGGCGTCATAATCTCTTCATTCTCCTCCTTTGCGAGGTCACCTTTTCTTGGTCTTTTTGCTGGTTCCTCACCTCTGAACCCTCATCCTCTGAGCGCCCCCGGGACTCAGCCCTCTTCTCCTCCCTGGGGACTCATGGCCGTGGCGCCCTCAGCCAGACTAAGGCTCAGTATACAGCAAGCATGTCAAACTCACGGCCCGCAGGCCGCATGCCTCGTTTATTTGGCCCGTGTTAGCCTTTGAGTTTGACATGCTTGGTGTACAGGGTACATGGCAATCAATGGTCTTCCAAAGCTGACTTCTCACCCCCAGGCTGCTTCCCTCAATCCCGGGGTGGATATTTGATAGACTTAAACTGGAGTGTCTAACAAAAATATCAAATCAATACGTCCAAATCCTAATTTCTAATCCGCCATCCAAAAGCTTGTTTCTCCCCCACGAAAACATCACCCGCGTCACTGTGAGTATCCTCCCCATTGCTCGGCCAAGAAATCGGGCAACGACCCTCAACTCCTCCTTTCTCTCCTCCCCTTCGTTCAATCTGTCAGGCCATCCTGTTGGCTCTTTGGCCAGAGATGAAGGGCTGCACACCGAATACTGCAAGGCTTTGAAGGAACAAATATATTGAAAGTGAAAGGATGCAGATGATAAACAAAACAGAGCAGGGGCAGGGGTAGCTAGCACGTTATCAGAACAACAAAAAGGTCATAAGAGACACAGAAAGTGACATTATGTGTATATTAATAAGAGGTTCAAAATAATAAGAATTATAAACATTTATGTGCTTAATAACAGACCATCAAAATACATAAAACAAAAATGGACAGAACTGAAGAGAAAATATTTAGTCCCACAACAATAGCTGGAGACTTCAATCCCCTACTCTCAATGGGCTTGGCCAGCCAGACAGGAAATAAGTGAGGAAATAGAAGACTGAACACAATAACCACCCAGGTGTGTGGACACCCACAGAACACTCTACCCTGCACAGAGCGAACTGTCCTCTCCAGGGCACGAGGGACAGATCCCAAAGATGCACCGTATGCTATGCCACAAATTTCGTCTAAACTGATTGAAAAGGTAGACATCAGACCAAGTACCTTCGCCAACCACGCTGGGATAAAGTCAGAAGTAAAAAACTGCAGGAAAACTGAGAAAGTTATCAATTACAACTAATGGTTGAAAGAAGAAATCATGAAGGAAATTAACGTAGAAAATACTGAATAATGAGTGAAAAGAAAAAAAAACAAAATTCATGAGACTCAGGAAAAGCAGTGTTAAGGGGCAAATTATAGCCTTAAACACTTACTTTTTTTTTTTTTTTAAAGAGCCCTGTCAGGTGTGGCTCAGTTGGTTAGAGCATCACCCTGTACACTGAAAGGGTGCAGGTTCGATTCCCAGTCAGGACACATACTTAGGTTGTGGGTTCAATCCTCAGTCGGGTTGTGTCTGAGAGGCAACTCATCGATGTTTCTCTTTCTCTCCCCCTCCCTTCCTCTCCCCCTCTCTCTAAAATCAATAATAAAAAGTAAAAAAGACAAATCCTCCCGTGAGGGTTAAAAAAAAAAAGAAACAGAAAAAGACCTCAAATCCACAACTAACTAACTAACTAACTGCACAACTTAAGGAACTAGGAAAAGAACAAATTAAACCTAACGCTAGCAGAAGGAAGAAAATAATAAAGATTTGAGCACAGATAAATAAAATAGAGAACAGGGAAAATCAATGAAAGAAAGTTGGTTCTTTGAAAAGATTAACAAAATTGACAAAAGTTTAGTTAGTGTAAGAATGAATGTATGAAGAATGAGGGAAATAGAAAACCATCAATACTAGACCATGGCAATACTTGTAGTAGACAAGATCCACTGATAGATGTTTAATAGTGGGCAAAATTTTAAGAAGAAAAAAGGCTATTCCTCTAAGACATTTGTTAATTTAAAAGGGAACCATCAGAACGTTACCATGGCTAACCCTGGCAGACACCAGTTTACCAGATGATCAAGGTAATGTCCGCAGTAATAAGGCAGATGGACTTCACTGCTGAGACGAGGCCGGGACGGGCACCTCAGGATTCAAACCCCAGGCCTTGTCAGACTCGAAAATGTCATATTGTTAATCACTTCGCTATGAATAAGCCTATTTCCCTTCAAGAAACTGATAAATGAACTTGTTGGGGAAAGCAGCGAGGATCTACAGCAATCGGGATATTCTCTCATTTGTGAAATATACCCGGCTTCGTACAGTTACTCAGAAAAGTATAATTAATTAGTGAGATAAGACAGAATCCAAGAGAGGCTTATGTAAGAAAGGAAAAACGGAATGGAGATGACATTTACTCAGGCATGGTACACAGCAGGCGGTAATCATCATCATCAGAGCAAATATGTAACAATAATATATTTATTTTCATTTAATGCAATGTTAATTTTATTCAAACTATAACTAGATGTATTCAATAATGATGGCAGGTACTATTCCATTTCTTTATTCATTACTTGGATCCTGACAACAGCCCTATGAGAGGGACACGATCATTTCTCACTTTCCAGGTGAGAAAACCAAGGCAACAAAACGTTGAATAATGTGTTTGGGACCGTTTAGTAGTAAGTAGCAGAGCCTACAGAAAATACCAGTTTAATTACCATACATGTCAGGTGTTATGCTGAATCCTTTACATATTCTATTCAAAATCAGATTCTTTTTTAAAATATATTATTATTGATTTTAGAGAGAGGAAGGGAGAGGGAGAGAGAGATAGAAACATCCATGATGACAGAGAATCACGGATCGGCTGCCTCCCACACGCCCCATGCTGGGGATCGAGCCCACATCCCGGGCGTGTGCCCTGACCGGGAATCGAACCGCGACCTCCTGGTTCATAGGTTGACGCTCAACCACTGAGCCACACCAGCCGGGCCAACATCAGATTCTTGTCCGGGAACACTGCTTCCCACAAATAAAATGTTTACAAATGGAAAAACTGCGATTCTCCTGGGCTGCTCCGCTCGCTGCGAGCTGTTAGCATGCTTGGCCTCTACCTGACCACAGCCAGTCTTTTCCTTCCGAGTCATCTTGATAAGCGTATATGTCCCCCCCCCATCCCCGCCCCAAATACGGTCAAATGTCCCCGAGGGAGTGGTACTCCCCCCAAAACTGCTTGGGAAAGGTCATTACGTGGTCATTTGCAAAGCGGGGATACAATCCTAGGCCCGTCCGCGTCCAGGTCAACGTTCTTTCCCACACCAGCACTGACTGCTAAGAAGCTGAGGTTGAAACAAATGTCCAAGACACAGGAGCGTAACCTCACCAAGTGGGTGGAGCAATTCACCCCAGACAGGAAATATTGTAAGTCACCGAAAGCTCAAGTCGTCTACACCGGGTAACAGTAATACTATATGTCACTGTCGAATTCAGCAAGACAAAGCTTGGACCAACTTATAAAGTAGATCAAATTTGCCTTTGGAGGGAACTGGAATTTAATTTAGAACCCTGAGAACTGGCATCATTAACGCGTTCATTATTTGCAGAGGTGAACGAAGCTATGAGAAGGTGTTAGGCCTCCTGGAAAAATTTCAAAAACTATTGCTTTTAGTTTCATTATTCTCGTATTTTCAAATTTATTAAGGCTGCTTTTCCATTCAACAAATATAAGCTGTATAATTTATGAGTACAAATCATCTGTTATTCTAATCCCTCTTATTCAATAAGAAATTAAGAATGTTGGGGGGAAATAAAAAGCAACATTAGTGCAATTAGTGATCGAGGTCACAAATATATAGTAAAAACATTCTCCCAAACACACATAGGATAAATACTTCTATCTCCTCAAGGTAATAAAATAGCTTCAGTATATAATACTTAGATAATACTATACATGTTTGTAAGTTTTAATACTACAAATATTAAGATAATAGATGTTGTTAACAATAGCCTACAACCAACGTTTTGGTTACTGAATGGGATTTCGACACTAACCATGTGTATGCGTGAGGACACACATGTGTGTACAGTGTAAACAAAACTTCCAGTTACCTTTGCAATAATAACTTCTTTCTTCAGAATCTTCATAGCATAATACTTCCCACTTGCCTTCTCTCGAACCAAAATAACTTTCCCAAAAGTGCCTTTACCTAGTAGTTTCAAATAGTCAAAATCATTCATTGTCTGAAAAATACAAATTAAAAAATATATGAAATATTTCATGCAATTTATTTGTAAATATTCCACTCATCTGCAATATCCACTCAGAAGCAAATTTTACCAAGCGCTCTCTGAAATGAGTAAGAATCAGATGGCACTGGCTGCCCCATCGGCAGTCATAGATGCTGGAAACCACTGAAGCGATCCTCAGATACTGGAGACAATAATTTTGAACCTCGAATTCCTCAGCTACTCAAATTATTAGTCAAAGAAAACTCCTAGACCAGATGGCTGTACTGGTGAATTGTATAAACATTTAAGGAAGAAATAACAGCAATGGCGTACAAACTCCTACAGAAAATGGAAAAGGAGAGAATATTTCCCCGATTCATTTTATGAGGTAACCATTACCCTGACACCAAAACCAGACAGAAACATTATCAGAAAACTACAGCCAATCAATATACCTTTATGCAAATACATGTAAGAATTCTAAAAATGTTACAAATGAATGCCTATGTTCATTTCCAACATTGTACGCTACCGACAGTTTTCCCGAATGTCAAGTTATGACGTGTTAAGCAATCAATGGTATCTCTAGTTCAAAAGAAAAGCAGCAAGAGACATCAGGGAAATAATAAAGTACATTTATTAATTCAACTAACAATCAAACAAATGGGACTAAATATACAGAATGTTTACTGCCCCTCCTCCCTGATGCACATGCCACTCTTCCCATTAGGAGGCGGGGTCACCCTTCCCTCCCCCTGGGCTGGTGCTGTGTCCAGCGGTGAACACAGAGAGCCACACACTGCCAGGTCCACACCCAGCCTTCAGCCTGTCCTCTCGGGCTGTGGGAAGGCCGGGCTTTTTGCTGGGAGGAAGGCCATGTAGAGGCCCTGGAATGAAGGGAGGTCATGTGAGGGGGACCCAGAACCCAGACACGTGAGAAAGGCGTTCTGGCATTTTCCAGCCCAGCCCACTGCCAGGTGAAGGCAGCTGCCTGGGAGATAGGTTGGCGGCCAGCAGAATTGCCCAAGCAAACGGGGAAAGCGTGAGAAATAACACCCGGGATTGTTTTAAGATGTTAAACTTGGGTAGTTGGTTCTATGCAATAAAGAAAAACATTGTTCTTATGAATAGGATAAAGCTTGATTTGAGTAGGACCCTCCTTGTGGTTCTTGTTTTGTTTTCCCAACATGTTAGTATTTTTATTGATTTCAGAGAGAAGGGAGAGAGAGAGAGAGAAAAACATCAACCATGAAAGAGAATCATTGACTGGCTGCTTCTTGCACTCCCCACACTGGAGACCGAACCCACAACCCAGATTTGTGCCCCAACTGGGAATCAACCGTGAGCTCCTGGTTCATAAGTCAAAGCTCAACCACTGACCCACACCGGCTGGGCCCTCCTCGCTTTTTTCTTTTTTATCTAAAATCACTGGAAAATAATACTTGCTGTATGCTATTACTTAATGTCATATCAGCTGAAACTGAATCCGTAGGGGTAAAATCAAAGAAGAATTTTTAAACCGCTTTATGACATTCTCAGATGAAAAGTAATATGTAATTATAAAGTATTACTATAGTCCTCGAGGATGCGATTCTCAGGAACAAGGAGAGTTTTCAAAAGTATGACAGTCTTAACTCTCAATTTCACAGCTTCTGCCAGTTATTCTGTCAATCTTTAAAAAAAGGAATTTGCATGGAAATTGATATTAGTAAAAAACTTCTATGTGATAAAATCAGAAGCAGATTTCATATCTATTTTGACAAACTTTCAGAACATTTTCAAGTATCTTTGATACCAAATGCTCATGTTCAGCATGGTAGACACAGTAATTATCTAGTCTTTATAAATGAAATGTAACCTATTACAAAATGTTTTCCTCTTTTAGACGGTGTTAAAGTTACAATAAGATTTCATTAAACAATGAGAGCATGGTTACTCCCCAGAAAAATTAATTACCCCAAACCCAATTCTATGATTTGTTAGGTAAACATTTTATGTAGAAACTAGAGGCCCGGTGCACAAAAATTTGTGCACTCGGAAGGGTCCCTCAGCCCGGCCTGTGCCCTCCTGCAGTCTGGGACCCCTCAGGGAATGATCACCTGCTGGCTTAGGCCTCCTCCCCGGGGGATTGGGCCTAAGCTGGCAGTCAGACATCCCTCTGGCAGCCCGGGAGCCCTCGGGGGATGTCCACTTGCCAGCGGGGAGCAAGCCTAGCTGCAGTCGGACATCATCCTTAGCGTTTCTGAGGAGGTGGGAGAGGCTCCCACCACCACCGCTGTACTGGCAGCCATCAGCCTGGCTTGTGGCTGAGCAGAGCTCCCCCTGTGGGAGCACAATGACCACCAGGGGGCAGCTCCTGCATTGAGCATCTGCCCCCTGGTGGTCAGTGTGTGTCATAGTGACCAGTCATTCCCAGTCGTTCTGCTGTTAGGGTCA